TTCCCTCGGTGGGGGTGGGGGCAGGGCTGGGCGCCCCTTTACAGAATACCCTGGCCTGGGAAGAGGCGCTCCCGAGCATGGGCAGAGTGCGCCCCCCCGTCCAACGCCTGGCACGGGGGTCCCGACTGCCCCCTCCCTCTGCTCCCAAGCCCTGGGCCAGCCCCCCTGGAAATCCAAGGAGGGGGCGCTGGAGGGGGAGTCAGGCAACCAGAAGGAACCGGAGGGGGAGGGGGAGAACCAGACCGGGCCCTTCCTCCTGCCCCGCACTCTTCTGGGTCTCAGGGCTGGCTGAGGCAGAAGGCCCCCCCCGTGCATGGGGAGAGGAGCTGCCCCCCCTCAGGTTACTGCCTTCCTGCCACCCTGGGGGCGGGGGGGGGCCCGGACTGGGCTTGGAAGTCGGGCAGACCCTCAAACCCCCCTCCTCATCCTCCAGAGGTGGAGGGGGATGAAGTCCAGGCCAGCCCCTGTGGATTCCCAAACAATCCCTCCTGGGGATTCCTTGAGCAGTTGGCATGGGCGCTGCAGCAAGATCCTGTCCCCGTGGGAGGCAACCCCCCCCCCCCCCGTGAATGACGGCCCAGTGTGAATTGCCCCCTCCCGCCCGCGCTGCCGATTTCAGGATGTTCCCCTGCGAGGAGGAGGAGGAGAGGAGTCCTGGGGAAGAAGCGGTAGAACAAGAAAGGCCTTGGGTGGGGTCACTACGCCCCAGACTCCTCCGACTGGCTTCACAGTCATTCCAAACAGGCGGCGGCTTTGTAGTCTCTCGCAAACAAGCGCCTTCCCTCCCAAAGGGGACAGGGGGGAGATTGGCGGGGGACCCAGGACCTGGGTGGTCCTCTCTGCCGCAGGAGAAACTGAGGCAGGGTCACTGTTGGTTGTCCCGTGCCCGGAGCGTCACCCAAGCAAAATGTTATCGGTTACCCATCTAAGCTATGCAAGCACCGCCTTCCATGCTGCCAAGCAATAGCTTCACACTCAAAAATGAAATCCAATCAACCCACCTTTCTTTCACAGACAGGTGACTGGGAAATGTGCTCCATAGACACCATACAAAACTTGAAAAATAACTTTTGTTGTTGTTGTTCAGTCGCACAGTCGAGTCCTGAACCACTGGCTTTCCTAAGCACTTGGTGTTTTTTGTTGTTCAGTCGCACAGTCGAGTCCGACTCTTCGTGACCCCATGGACCCCATCATGCCACCGCCGACCTCTGAAGTTGGCTCAACTTCATGTCCGTTGCATCTATGACACTGTCTAACCATCTCATCCTTTGCCGTCCCCGTCTTCTTTGACCTTCAGTCTTTCCCAGCATCAGGGTCTTCTCCTCCAGTGAGTGCTCCCTTCTCATTTGGTGGCCAAAGTATTTGAGCTTCATTTTCATTATCTGGCCTTCCAGGGAACAGGCAGGGTTGATTTCTTTTAGGATTGACTGATTTGTGCTTCTTGCAGTCCAAGGGACTCTCAAGAGTCTTCTCCAGCACCATAGTTCAAAAGAATCTATTCTTCGGCGCTCGGCCTTCCTTATAGTCCAACTCTCGCAGCCATACATGACTACTGGGAATACCATTGCTTTGACCATGCGGACTTTTGTTGGCAGGGAGATGTCTCTACTTTTTATCATGCTGTTTAGGTTCGCTATCGCTTTCCTCCCAAGGAGCAGGCGTCTTTTAATTTCATGGCTGCAGTCACAGTCTGCGGTGATCTGGGATCCCAGGAACGTGAAGTCTGTCACTACTTCCACGACTTCCCCTTCTATTTGCCAAGGAGTGATGGGGCTGGATGCCATGATCTTAGTTTTTTTGACGTTGAGCTTCAAGCACACTTCTGCGCTCTCCTCTTTTACTCTGAGTAAGAGGCTCTTAAGGTCCTCTTCACTTTCTGCCATCAGAGTGGTATCGTCTGCATATCTGAGGTTGTTGATCTTTTCCCCAGCAATCTTAATTCCCGCTTGTGATTCACCCAGGCCAGCATTTCGCATGATGTACTCTGCAATCAGTTGATCCATGAGGGAGACTTGGTATTTAGAGGACTCCAAAGAAACATTGTGCGTAAGCAAAGGTGGGCCACTGTAGAACAGGCCCTGCGCCGGCTGTCTGGCCCCCGACCTCACAAGCTGGGGGCTTCTGCCGCCCACCCTCCCCTGTTGACCC